GGACATTCACGAATTGTCACAACAAGCGTGTGGCAACAGAAAACATTTTACGGTCTAACACGAACCCCCTTTTCATATCCTTTTACTTCACGGTTTTTACAAAAACGCAATAGGAAAATGACCTTTAATTTAATCGATAAAAATTTAATTATTTTATACTCGTTACTGTGGTTTGCAGAAAAAATCCTAAAATAAGCAGGGCGATATAAAATGTATCATACTCGACAGATATCGATTCGAAGCTTTAAAAATGTGTTATCATTGATATTTTATATATACATGTATATAAAAGAAGAATAAGAAATGGTAGAATGAGATGTAATTTACGTCAGAGTTTTCAAGTGAAAATCTGTGAATGGCAAATAATGATTCTCCGTATTTGCCTCCTTCAACTTGATAAGCTTTAATAAACTAAGAATTAGGAAAATAGCTTTTGAAAAGAAAATTCTTCAAGATTCAAATAATTTTCATCGATTCGTCATCCTTTATCTAACAAGAAGATGATTTCAAGGTGTCACGTCTTTCCAATTGTAGCAATTAAATTGTCTGATTAAGTCAGAAATTGTTCTATCGTTGAAATCATGTTTTAAAAAAACACAAAACGTAAGAATATAAAAAAAAGCATATAAACGAGCTAACAATAAGTTACTTAAATATCGTAAAAACTAAGGAAAATGAAATTCTTCAATGTAGACGTTAACGTACAACCAGACATATACGATCAAAGTTAATCACAAATGCACAGTCTTGAGCTTCCCATAGTTACTCTAATTGCACATTCATGTCGCAGTGAATGTTTCGAGAGAATCAAGAGCGTATCTATCGAAAAAAAAAAAAATAAAAAAGAGAGAACAAACGTTCGTCACGAATAAAATATGCAGAGAATGGAAAATGACCGAAGAAGTACTTTACAACGATAGAACGTGATCTTATTTTGATTTTAAAATAAATTCTAAGCTTGTGTAATGTGCTCGTTATTCTGACCACGAAACAAAAGTATTATAAAATATGTTCGTTCATCAAGTTTTTACTTTGATGCGCAAAACGTGAGATTATATTTATTATTTTGAACGTATCTTTCGCAAAGAATATTTTATCGATCTAACGAGAGAAAACTCTTATTTATGCGCTTAAAATATTTGTCTACAATATCTAAGAAAACTACAATATATATTTTAGGACTGCAGTAGTCGCATAAGGTCAGGAGTGTCTGCAACGAGCGTATTTATATACAACGATGCAGAACGAACTGTCGGAGTAAAATATATGTAAGTACGTGTATAGGAAAGCACCCTTAAATGATTCATGGGGAGCATGACTAGGTAGGGTATAGACACCATTCAGCAAACGGCGACACCCGCCGCACATGACGTATTGATCCTCGAGAGGCATGTTCGCGGCTACCTTTCTTCGATTTCCAAAAGCAAGGTGCTAAGCCTAAAGTTCTTTTTTTTTTCTCTCTCTCTCTCTCTCTCTTTTCCTTTTCTTTTATTCTATTCTTTCTTTTTCATCTTTTTTTCTCTTTCGTTGTTATAAAAACCCATTCCACTTCCTGCATAAAGCTGAGCACGTTGCTGCTGGGCACGTAACGGTAGTAACCCTCCAACTACACCTCTTTTCGTGCTACTCGATGTATTACTTTTTTTAATGTATGATTTTCACGTGAAAATGTTTTCCCTTGTGAGTAGTACACGTGATTATAAGATGATTTATATAATACTAACAATATAAGTTAGATGTGTTATTATTCACAGATCGAAAACACGTGTATATATGAGTATTTATTTTTAAATGAAATTAACGTATTAGAAAATAAATGATATGTAAAAATGAAATTAGCGTATTATCTCCCTGATGCGGATTTAAATTCATATGTACGTCATAAATCCGGCTTGTTGTTTTGATGCTTCAAAGCTTTTAAGATTAATTTCATCTGAGGGGGACAATTAAATCGAATTCTTAAAAAAATAATTGTGAATATTCGTGGAAGTACGTTAAAAATAAATCTTCCGAATGATTCTTATTGAAAAAATTCATTCGTAATGATAATTTATTACTCAACATGACGTATTGCGATAGATGCTGTTTTTGTTTTTTTAAATGCAATGTTTGCAATGTTTGCAGTACCCATTTATTGTATTGCGAAATTTTATATCAGCATTGATATACTTGTTAGCTTAGAATTCGTATTTTCAAAGGTCTGCGTTTAAAATATCGTATGTTGGAGTTTGAATTTCAATAAGCCGACGTCGTCTTTATTAATTTAGTGGATTTTCCGCTAGATTAAACAGGATTACTCTGTCTAATGGTCAGAGACGGATCTTGTACACAAAGTATCTCAAAGTCCGTCGCGTTTCATATAGAGATTTTCAAAGGGAATAAGATACAAACGCGGATTTATGTCAGGTCAGAGGATAAGGCGCAAACCTTCAATTATATTTTATATTCATCGAACGTAATTAAAAATTAAAACTGAAAACTATCTTGATGATTAAATATTTCATTAATTTCGTTTCATGCCGATGTTAATATTTTTTATCATCATTATATTAATAAGAAACATAAATAAAACATGAGTAATACTTACTGAAGCAAATGAACAGATAAGAGAACGAAAAATGGTATGAACAAATCATCGCTGCCGATTTTCCACCGTCTACCAAATGCAATCAAGCTTGGCATGATCTTGTACTGAAGATATGATTGATAATGACCTACGTCAATTTTCAGAAATGAATAGAATTGAACGATGACATCACCTATATTATAATCATTCACGTCAGAACGATAATCCTACTGCTTGACCGAAAGTAAGAAAGAAAAAAAAAAAAAATCATGCAACTGGTCAAGCAACTCGACGCGAGACAAATCGAAACTCTTGTGGGATTAATTTCTCACTGCACAACTGACAATCCATTGACGCGATAACAAGGAGAGGAGAGAGGAGGAGAAAGAACTCGCACGTGGAGATAATTTAAAAGTATATCTAGTGTTCTTTCAGTAAAACGATGTTCAAAGAGTTCCCTTGAACCGAAAGTTGTGTGTTTCTTCGAACGCCACCATCCCATAGTGTGTGCCAAGTGAGATCGAGAGAACGGTAATGGCTAAATGCCGGGAAATTCGAAATCGATACATAACATCGCTGAAGAAACGATCTTTAGCTATTGTCTCGAGACTAGAAGCGTTTCAATACACAAGAGATTCGCTTTGCATCGTTAACGAACGTAATGAGAGAACGATAGTAACAATATATCCGTGAAGAAAATAGAAAAGAACAAATTCAACGCGTTCCTGCCGGACGATAGTACGAGCTGAGAAAATGGGAAAAATTATAGGAAGGAAAAAACAAAAAAGAAGAAACATAAAGAGAGAAAGAAAATTCGTTAGGAGTGTTGAGACATCGACGATACTCGCCAGAACGAGTTTTAATTTACGTTGCTGTCAGGTACGATGAAAAGAAAGGATTCGTGCAGAACCATATGATACTGTTCATACTATGGTATATCGAAAAACGACCGATTACTCGTTCTGCGAAAATGGAATGGACATTCGCCAATTTCCTGCCACTCGCTCGCTTTATATTTCTCCTTCTTTGTCACGTTCCGCTAAACCTCTCCTCGTCGAATTCGAGCATACGTGGATTACCCCGATTGTCCAAAATGCGGAGATTCTCCGTCTATGGGTCATTAACAATGTTTTAAAAGACATAATTCGATATCATACAAAAACTGAAGTTAGATACACGATATCTTTTAGTTTCCTCTCTCTCTCTCTCTCTTTTGGACCTGTAACAGACACTGTCCACATGATAAAATAACAAAGAAGATAATATTTCTAGTGAAATTATCGATAATTCTAGATTATTAGATGAATAAAATAACCATCAATTCGACAACCATCATCGATTAAATGCATTTAGTCAAGATAAAACATTTGTAAAAGTATATATTGTAATATAAAGTAAAAATTTCTAGTACGAATAGTAGATAGCGCGAATCCTTGCAAGTCATACTTATCATTTAACAGTTTAATTAGTCACCGTTATCTGTCCGGTTCGCTTCGACGGTTAAAACTAAACTCAGCAGTAAATGAGCCTATTGTTCTTTTAAAAATATACCTCTTATTGTTAGCGAATAATTATGAACGTTGAATCGATTTTCACAAACAACTTTCATGAATTCTCGTATATAATATATTATATAAAAAAAAATTGAGAGAGAGAGAGAGAGAGAGAGAGAGAGAGAGGAAGAGAGAATTCATTCCTACGAAATACAAGACGGTAGTTGAATTGCCACAACTATGAGATTGAAGGATAATCCAAACAACGTAAATAGGAAACATACTAGGTCAAGGGGCAACTTAGGTACCTTTGCCTCTAGCAATTTAACATTACCTTCTCCCACGGATAATATACAGTGCTTGAAAAGTTTTGAAACTGTCGTATGTACTTATTATATGAAAAAAAAAAAAGTGAGAAACTGTCATACAGATTGACGTTTTGCGCGGGAAAAAAGTAAACTTGTTAAGATGCATGATTTGAAACTAATAATCAGCGCACAAAAAATAAGCAGGATTGTTTTTTTCAATGACGTTTTCTATAGCTAAATCCGAACAAATTACTTTTAAATCTCGAACTTCTTATGAGCGCGATATATTCCTTTCAATCCTTTCTTTCCTTTTCGCATATATATATATATATCCCCTGTCTAGTAGTGTCGACCGTGATCATGGTTTCACTGTGCGGTACATATATTTACGAAATTCAGATATACCAATGGCCAATTTCTATGAAACTTTCTAATTGTAATTACATAATATTTTCTATAAATATAATACTACAATCGATCCTTGAACAAGATATACTTAAGATATATATAAAATTATGATAACCATTATTGAAAGCACTTATTAGTATCAACATCCCTCAAATGGATGTCGCTCGGAATGAAAGGATTAAAAAACATAGTTTTAATATTATATAATTATTTATAATAACTCACCATATGAGATGTAAAACGAAGAGGAAGGCACCAGGTACAACGAGATCGTCGCTGCCGACGCTCCAGCGTCGTCGGAATACCACGATGCCAGGCATATTGTCTCCTTTCTTCACTCACTTTGGTTTCCATTCAATTACACTAGGAGCCTCTTGATAGGACTCCTAGACAACGGCCAACGATCTTGAAGGATAACAACGACGACAATGATTCTTCTTCTTCTTCTTCTTCTCTTTCTTCCTTCCTTCGGCGTTTTCTCGTGGAAGCAACGAAGAAGAGTATAAAGGGAGATAAAGATGATGAAAAGGAAGAGAACGGCTTATCTTCGAGTAATTCGAGCTCGGTTGAGCCTTTTCCTCGATGACTTCGTCGATGATTTCGTCGACGAGCTCGCCGTCGCGCACCACCAAGAACATAACGTGCGGCACGACGATTCCTTCTACCGACGATATTTTCGTCCATCCTTCGTCGTTCCACGAGAAACACGAAACACCTTTCACGAAATTCAAACTCGAAGCTAGAACATTGCTTAATTCATCAAGAGAATAATGCATCGCGTCAAATATACGATATTTTATATCATTCTTTTATATATTTTTACCTTTATTATATCTTCAAAGTTTCATTTATGTATAATATATGTATGTATTTCACACGATACTGTTCCAACTGGTTACATAAACATCACTGCTAGTAGTATAGACTCTCGAACCTGTGGATTCGCGAATATTTCATTGAAATAGCTATCTCTCGAGATCTGTCCGCGATGGAAACAAGAAGTGAAATCCTATTATACGAGTTATCCACTTATCAAGACTGGCACATTCCGCTGACCATTCTCTATGATAAATGGAAAATCCATTGTGGTTTATCTCATATTTTTTCTTTTAATTTTTATCAATTAACGAGACTTTGAAAAGATCAAATTACGAAAAAGATATAATAATATCAATATTTATAATCTCGCGCGATTTGAATGTACACTGTATCTAACTATTGATTCTATTCATTTACGGAGGATTATATCAGCGAATAGGAAAACGATTCTAGATATATACTATTTAAGATAAGTCAATAGATTATAGAAGTCTAAAAGGTGTGATATAGAAATTGAAAGAGTTTCAAGGGAGTAATGGAACGTAACTTACCAGATACTCGAACAACGACCCCGCGTTCGCGAATACCAAGAGAATTATTCCAGAAAGCTTTTAATAGTACGACTTTAGAATCTTCTTTATTTCGTTCAATCGTTCGAAATAGAGAAATAGAAAGACAAGTCTTTTAGCTTTAGTAACTTTCAAGAAAATAACTTTCTCCGGGACTTCCGGGAAATGAAAACTTTTTAAAATTGATGTTGCATTTAACTGAAAAGAAGTTTAAAGATCATTCGATTGAGATACAGTAGAGCAACTTTGAAAAGAGTTTCCGAAAGCATTTCTATTCTGCATCGAACATTTAATTTAATTAAAATTCAAAGAGCACCGAAACTCTTTCAATATTTCTTAAGCGATAACCTTATCGGGTATCTCATTAAATCGCACATGTATTTATCAATGAGCAAAGTACATTTGCTATAACAAATTTTAAAACGTTACAAAAGAAAACAGTTAGTGTTAATAATGAGGTAACGCAAAGCAGAACATCGAGGAAAATGAAAATAGAACGCGCACTTGTTGCAAACCAATAGATTTGAAAGAGAAAAAGAGAGAGAGAGAAAGAGAGAGAGAAAATTAAACAAACGATAGCAATTCTTCGTAAAAAGATGACTACATTAAAGACATTTCGAATGGGGAAATAATCGTTTGAGTGTGCAAATATACACTTAATATAGTTATAAATATAGACATAAGTTATTACGTTATATTTTTGAATCTTCAACAAATCGACACATTAAATATCTTTCGGTATTAGAAAGTCAAGTTAACGTTGAAATCTTATACATACGATGGTGAAGGTGCCAAAATATGTCCGAGACATACTCTCGATCATTCATCATTTTCTCTCTTCCTCTCTTTCAGCATCCGTTAACTATAAAATCGTTCTAAAAAAATAAATTATATCATATCATGTTTTTTCGGCTTTGACAAATTAATTGATAGTCTGATCTGTAAACAGAAATATGTAGGAAGAAAAATTCGCAATAATATAAAATGCATAATGAATATAAACATAACAAAGCAGGTATTCTTGAAAAGCCACGCGAGTTGCGATCACGCGGCCATGCGTCGGCACGCGACTAAATCCGACACTATAAATCTACGAACGTGTAAATCTTGTTCTCGTGAAAATGAAGGTACAGGAGAAAGATTTTCAAAAGAGAGGATGACACAACAAAACGGTCTATGAATACACACGCACATTCTTTCCTATCCGATCCTTTCCACCGCCATTTCGTAAGCACGTACGCACGGACGATCGATAGACATCTAATTAAATTAGCATTTCGTTTCGAAATCGTTCAACTTACACTCGATAAGAGAGTAGACAGTAAGACTATTCTCTTCTTCTTCTTCTTCTTCTTCTTCTTCTTCTTCTTCTTCTTCTTCTTCTTCCTCCTCCTCCTCTTCTGTAGGAAAGTTAATATTCTGAAGGGGATGAGAGGGTTTCTTTTTCTTTTGTCTTAAACGAGTAAATCGCGTTACTCTTGCATCACGAAATTCGCCAAACGAATATCATTGACGTTTCAGCAGGTAATAATCGAAGAAGTGAAGAAGGCACGCCGGTGTTCTTCGCATCGTCGTATTTTCTAATATTGTTTTTCGAATAATCATCTTTCATTCGAAAATCATCGACAAATTATCGAATAAATAGTTCCTTTTGATTGGCAATCGCACGAGGGCCGGCGCTACCTTGGCCGTAAACCCTTCCGAATTTTTCTACACGTCCGAGTCATCTAGTTTCTTCGAAATATAACACACAAGGAAGAAACACCACACTGACAAAGAACGAAGGACGAATAGCCGAATACAAAATAATTAAAAGAGCTTCTTGATTTACTTTTTTTCTTTCTTTTTTCTTTTTTTAGAATGATGTTGGGCACTACACCACGTGCCTTATCATCCTTTATAACACGTCGCCTTTATCACATCGAACACATTACCACCACCGCTGATTTTCCTACCCCCATTATTTCTCTGATGCATCGCGCAAGGCTGTTAAAGCGCGACTGACGAACCGCGGCGATCTTCGATGCTGCGAACATACCCGATGTCACTCGGGAAAACACGAGTGGTGGTCCAATAGTGGGGAATGAGCCACCCCCAACAGCGCACCTTTTCAATGTTTTTCCAAGGCAATTCTTTGATGTACAAACAAGTTTTTTACCTTTTCTTTTTTTCGAAAACTAATGTTATTATGGTTTATAATATGTCTACGTCCTAGAAAAGATATATAAAAAATATTATTTCTTTTGTAGTTCTATCTTGCATGAAAAGATTGATATTTTCTCATAAATGATCATCTATCAATGCAATCCATTGTGCATTCTGCAGCAAGTAGATATGGTCTATCACGAGTACGACAAAGTGAAAATAAACTACATTTAATCGTACAAGCCTAATTCTATAATACGAATATTTGTTCTTGTGTAAAAGTTATTCTTAAAAAAATGGTCCTTAAGGAAAAAATTATGTTATATATATATATATATATTTTTCTATAAATAAACAATAAAACAATAGAAAGATAAAGGAAAAGAGTAGTATCCAACATCCTAGCTTTATCTTCATAATAATCTTTCTTAAGTACTTGCGATAACACGTTATAAATTACAGTCCCTAGTGTTTTGTCACGCGTATGATCGTTTATCCCTTTACTTTAACAAGTACAAAAATCGGTCAGGAAGGGTTCTTTGTTAGCAAGTTATAGAACCGACGGTATCAATATTATCAAAATATAATTAAAGATGATAAACTAATAAAAACATAAAAATCTACACAAACTTATAAGGCAATTTTTAATTCTATTGTAATATATATTAAGATATTTTAAGATACATTACTTTATTTTAAACTATATAGAAAAATATTTCTTTTTTATTGATTATATTTTATAGTATACTTTTTATACAAACAGCTAATTTATCTGCTGCAAATATATCTTCGAATGTTTATAGAGTATGTATAAATAAATATATAATTATTTATTTATAATTTGTACAATATATTCATATATCTTATGTTATCAAGTCTTGTCTGTGTTCATTTAATTCCTAGCTTGATCGTGGTTTTTTAAATACCAGTCGACTGTCTCTTTAATTGCTTGATCAAATGAAGTAAACTTAAAATCTGGCAAATAACTTCTTAATTTTGCATTGCTTGCTGTCTTCTTATATTGCCCATCTGCAGCACTAAGATCGTTACGAATTGAACCTTTGAAATTGAAAGCTTTTACTATTGCATCAACGACTTCAGATATTGTTATCTCTTGAGATTCGTCAACTAAAAGAATTTATTTATATTCATTATAAAATGATGTCTAATATGATATAAATAAATTGCATTTACCTGATAGAATAATTGGCTCTACAGAATCATATTCTCGAAGAACCCAAATTATTAACTTCGCCAAATCCAAGCTATAAATAAATTGTCTCAAAGGTTTGCCAGTACCTAATACTGTGAAAACTTTATCTTCTGTATTTCCTATTAAACAAAAAGTTTATATAAAGTACATTTCAGAAAACATCTTTAGACTAATTATTTTTTTACCATCTTCTATTAGATCATATAATCTTCTCATGAGACCAGGTATAACATGACTGACACCAGGACGAAAATTGTCATTTGGTCCAAATACATTGCAGGGGATAACACTTGTATATAATCTACCATACTGTTCATGATATCCTTTATTAGCAATATCTATTAATCTTTTGGCATAGCTGTAACCATAATTTGATGGATGTGGTGGACCGTTATGAACCTGAAAGATTATTATTATATAAAAATATTGAATAAGTCAAATAGATGTAAGCTATATTACATATAAATTACCATAGTTTCATCAATAGGATATGTAGTCTTATCTGGAAATATACAAGTTGAAAGACACGAAACAACTTTATTAACACCAGTCTCATGAGCAGTTTGTAGAATATTATCATTCATGTGAATGTTATTTCTCTACAAATGTTACAATATAATTTAATCTTGAATACTTTGAACAATAATAATGCAATGTTAAAAATATACAATCAGTTACCAAGAAATCTAAATTGTGAGCCATGTTATGGAAAAGACCACCAACCATTGCAGCTAAATGTATCACATGTGTTGGTTTATGTTTATCAAACAATTCTACAGTACTAGCTTTATTGCTGTAACAGTTATACTTCTTATAAGAATATCCTAATCGTAATAATAATACTATATATTGCTACATACCATAAATTAGCATCTTTTGAACCAACGAATATCCATTTTTCATCTGATCTTTTATCTTCCTCAACAATTTGTTTAATTGCTGAACCGACTAATCCAGTCCCACCGGTTACAAGTACAACTTTTGGTTGATCAGACATATTTGTATAACTATAAAAAAAATTATAGCTATAAAGCAAATCACAATAATTAAGAAAACATTTTTTTATACTATTAACTAATTATTTTACATTAGATATATCTCCCAGGTACTCTATCTAGCGTAACTTTAATGTATTTGAAATATTGCCACCAATTGTTATGAAAACCAAACTTGTGGATGTACAATATTGTACTACAATTATTACATTTTTTGATTGTTAATTACACGTCTAAAAGGGTTATGTTACATATAATTAAAGATAAATTAACAATTTTATATTAAAAAGCAGAGGGCGTTTAATACCTGAATTTATGATATAGATGCTACACTCTAGTTCCTTAAATAGTGTGCTACCATCTATAATGGTAAGACTTACTCAAGACTCATATATCAGTTGAGTCGATGCACCAATGCCCATCCAAATCTAGCAATCATAATTCAAGATGATCAATTCCTTGTTTACGAGTAATTGACAGAATGTGTTGGATTATTTTCTTCTCTTTAAAATGGAGGATACAATTGATTTGTCAAATGAACCAATTCTTTATGAATTGTTAGAATACTTTATTCGAAAACAAGAACCAGAATTAATAGTAAGTAAGAATTAAATATATTCTTAATACTTCATTATATTATATTTTATACTGATATACATACCTATTTCCATATTTCTTATAGAAATTCAAAAATGACACTGTTACCTTACCAACTGCTGGGATAATAAAAAATATATTAAGATATCATAATAATAGGTATTCCTTACCAGAAAATATTATATCTCAACAAATTAATTTAACATTACCATGGAAAATTGCAATAGGAGACTATGGTCGCTTATTAGCTGTATTACAAGAAAATGTTATAGAAATCCGGAAAGCAAAGGATGAATATTCATCAATTATTGGCAAAGCCTCTGGTATATTTATTTAAACAATACTATTAATTATTAGAATTTATATAGAATTTAACAATATTTGATTTTTTAGTTCCAAAAGATGCCTTGCCGCAATGGCGGAAACTAGCATGGAGTCCAGATGGAACAATTTTAGTTCTAGCATCTAGTAATGGATATATATCATTTTATAATTCATTAGGAAATAATATCTTTAATATAAATTCAAAAACAACATCACCAAACCCTCATATATTAGAGACTGGAGATGCAATAGCATCTATGATATTTCATAATCCAGGATCACAAAATGAAAAATGGTCTTATGAATTTATATTAATTACATACAGTGGCCTTTTAAAATCTTATCATATATCTTTATCCAATGGCTATAATTTTATTTATGAATTTTCTTTTGGTAACTTTTATAAAAGTGGAGTTAATGCAGTTGCATATGACGAAGAACATTCCTTACTTTATGTTGCTGGTAATGCAATCACACAAAAGTTAACAGTAAGTAAAATCTATAAGCAATTATCCGTAAATAGAATATTAAATATATTTGAACTATTTTATTTTAGTCTACAGCATCAGAAAGCGGATTAACTTCATGGAGATTGCTAAATGATTATCCATACTGTAAATTATCAGCAACTTTTAATGAAAATGCTGAAACTACGTCAAGATTTTCTCTATGGAATTTTATACCCACTGTACATTTTCGAGTAGAATCAATAATATTTAATATACAAATATCTCCAAACAATAAGTCATTAATATGCTTACATACAGATGGATCTGTCTCACTTTGGAGATTACCTAATTTAGTACTACAAAATAAATGGAAATTGCAAGAACAACCGGGTTACAATATAACTAATCCATTAAGACTTATAAAATTTAAAAAATTTCCATTTAGTTTCACAGAATTTCATCCTATAGATGTAGGCTGGTGGTCTGACCAGGTAATATTTTATAATTTTCACTCAATATACAATTAGATATATTGACTATCTTATAAAATGATTTTATAAAGTATTTTTTATTTTTTAAAGGCCATTATTATAGCAAGATATACAGGATCTATTTCAGTATGTTCAATTAAAAATTTAAATAATCTATTGGGATCAAGCCCAGAATTTTTAGCTGGTCAACCACAAATTTGTGAATTAGGTCCAAATCGTGGATTCTTATGCTTAGATTGTGAATCTTATATGATAAGTAAGAAACGGAATAGGGAATCTAATACCGAAGGTCAACTTTTAGGTCTATAATTAATATTTCTTATTTCTATTTTTTACATTTATTTTTATACAATTATTAATATAAAATAAAACTATTTCAGAAGCATCATCAGAAAGTGAAAAAGAAAGTGATGAACTGGAACATATTACTATTTTAAATTATACTACGGATTTAGTACAAAGTACTTTATATTCGATTACTGATATGGAAAGATTTCAACCAAAAAGAAAACGCTCAAAAGTTTTATATAGAACTTATAGAATTTTAGGACTCAAAAGTACCACTCCAGAAGAATTGTATACTAGAAAAATAGATATTGAGGTATTTATATAAGAATAATTCTATTGTTGGAACGAGATTACAAAAGAGGGAAATATTTACTACATATAGTAAATTATAAATAGTTATTTATATTATAGGAATATGAAGAGGCTTTAATTCTTGCTAATACATATAATTTAGATACCGATCTTGTATATCAAACACAGTGGCGAAAATCTCAGTTATCATTAAATGCTATTCATGAACATTTAAGTAAAGTTACTAAGAGATCTTGGGTTTTAAATGAATGTGTTACTCGCGTACCAGATACCATTGAAGCAGCACGAGAATTGTTAGATTTTGGATTAAAGGGCGCTAATTTAGAAACATTATTGGCCATTGGTGAATGTGATGATGGAAAATTTGTATTAGCTGATACTTTTGATGATGATGATGCTAAATTGGATTCAGAAAGTAATTTAAAACAGGTAAATTTTATATATAACACATAAATTTAACATTGCATAAATATTTATGAATATTTACATACTTGCAGATTCAAAGAATAAACAAAATCATTGAGTCCATTAATGTTAATAATTTATCAGAAGCACAAAAAGATTTAATTAAATATAGGAGATCACTTTTAAATCATTTAGATAAATTGCTTACTTATGAAATTATTCTTGGACCTTCTCTTCCATATAATAAAAATTTTTATGAGGAATTCAGACAACTTTCTGTCATTGAAAATGCTATAAGGTATATCCTTCATATTTATTATTATTCATTTTGTATAAAACCCAAGTGTAACTTGATTTACACTTTAATAAATATTTATTATCAATTAAAAAAAAAAAATATAAATATATTTATTTAATTAAATACAGATTTGCCAAAGACAGTGACTGTAGAGCAGTAGAAATTATGTTTACTTATTATGGTAATATATTGTTACCACATTGGTTAGCTATCATAAGTTTTTTCCCAGAAACGTTAAACCCATTAAATTATCAAAAGCTGCTACCACATTGTGATTTAGAAGGACAACTATATTTACCAGATCAATGTGAATTACGTCAAAAAGATTGGTCTGAAAGAAAAATTTTTGATAAAATAATAAACTTAGTAGAAGATGACCAATCTCAATTACTTTATGAAACGGACCCATCATTGGATATTTATAAGTATGATTTAATCGATTATTTAATTATATAAATATGTTAAACAGCTAAAATGGTAATGAATGTCTCTTCCTTTTAGAAATGTACTACTTACACCAGACTTATTGCAAAAATGGTATAGATGTAGAGTATATGAAATTGAGAAGACTAGTTATATGATAGACAATGCATTAGAATTAGTCAGAATAGGAAAAAATCATAATATTAAAAATTTAGAAGATTTGTTAGTAGATTTAGAAACATTAGATGATTTAGTTTATAAAGTTTATCTGGATGATATGTGTTTAAATAAATTAGAGAAATTAAACGATCTAGAAAAGATTAAATTACTAATGACAGGATCAGAAGAAAGTAATTTTGTCTGTAATATACAAAATCTTGTAATACCATTTATAAAGAGAAGGAATAAGTATTCCGTACGTAATAACATTATTCTAGAATTTTATTTTTTTTCTAATATTCTAATAATAATTTATAAATTTCAAGGAAAAAAATGCTGATGAAAATTTACTGCATAATTACTTGGTCTCCATAAGTAAACATGATCTTAGATTACCTGTTAAGCTCTTTGAATACTTAAAACAATCTGGTGAAACAGATATAACATTGATAATGAAAGATGTTGTGACAGTAGCTTTAGATTGCATTTATGCATGTAATGATTTAGATATGTATCCAAAAGCAAAATATATCTTAGATACTATATCAAAAGATCAATATCGTAAAGGAAAATATAACAGTTCGTTTGAAGAACTTGAACGAGAATTCGAAGGTATGAAAATTTTAAATAAATATGGAGTTAGAACAACAATCAATTCTTTGCATAATAATAAAAGCAATCCTGATGCTATAAAATTACTTTTAACACAAATGGCAAGAAGTTTAAACAAATTGTGAGTATCTTATGATCTCTGTAATTCATTTTAAAATGTGATAAAAGGGTGATTTCTTATTATAACTTTACAGAACACCACATCCGGATGAAAAACAATGGGTCCAATTATTAAATCAAATGTTAGAAATTCATGACATGTTATTTACATGTATCAATATTGAAATATGTTTTGAAATTTGTGTATCTGCTAAATTAATGTCAGGAGATAAATCTAATATTCAAACTTGCAGTTCACTAATAGAAACAACAAAAAAAGAAGAATCGTTACTTAAAGTTTCATATAACAAAGCTGTTAGTCTTATAATAGAAGCTAGTAAAGAATATTTTAACAGTTCCAAAAGTCTTACTGATCCAAATATGGAATTAGCCAAGTAAATTTTGCCATAATCACAAAATGATTTTATTATAGAAACAGTATTTATATATTATTAAAATAAATGCATTAATGATTTTAGGACTTGCTTGCACTTAATTCTTGATGATAATTATATTATCAGAGAAGAATATGATTTGATTAACTCACTTCAAATTTTGAATGAATTTAATGTAGATATGTTACCACTTCAAGTGCGATCAACGCAAGATAAATTAAAATTAATAGAAGATTGTTTAAATAAACGCGAAGACGCTTATAAAAGTCGTCATCGATTATTAATGTTGGCAAATTATCTACATATTGAAAAAAATAATACTAGGCTGCGTGAAGGAAAAGTTTTAGAACTTGTGGCCAAAAAAGCATTACAGGTTAATTTTATTATTATTTAATTAAGAAATTAATTTTACTATCTATAATATACATGTTGTAACTAAATTTTATTTATAGGTTCACGATTATACTACTTGTGCGGCTACTTGCCAACAATTGATGCAAATTAATTATGTTCCTATATGGGCAGTGGTATTTGAACTAGGATGTACTGAAAATTTTCGAGATTTACAAACTCGTAGGAAATGTTTATGGTTCGCTATAAATAATGGTCCTAATGATATATTAATTAAAGCTTTAGAATATGCACATTTAATTGAAGTGCAAATATTACATGAAAATTTGCAGTTATGGATGCCTAATATATCTGAAGATCTTGATGAGATTGAAAGTGAAGATGAATTTATAGATGCTATGAGTACAGTAAGTTAAATGAATTTTAAAAATTTATACAAAATATAATAACTCTGTTTTATGAGAAATATTTTATTATATTTTAGCCTCAAGTAGAAAGAAAAGAATTTATTCCTAAAGTGTTTGAAACATCAACCGAAATTGTAAAAACTTCTGCAAATATTATAAAAAATTCAACATACAGATTAATAAAAAATATAGGAAATACAGATTTTTGGAAGTCAAGATTAAAGTTTAATTTTAGTAATTCATTACATAAAGAAACACAAGATGAAAATGAAACTAATGATAATGAAAATATAAATATTCAAAGTTTCCCTTGTTTTTATGAAACTTTACATAAAAATGAAAGGACCAGTAATCTTGATACAAAATACATAAATTATTCCATGCCAGAAGTGCAAAATACTAAATTAAAATTATGTAGAGCATTATTAAGAATAAGTTTATTGACTGAAACTTCTTGTGGCGGTCAAGAAATAAATGACATTAATCATTGTAAGTACTATATAATATGTAATAATATGAAAAAAGTTAATTTCATATCTAATGTAATTTTGTTTATTTTATTAGTACTTTTAGAATGTGCAAAACATACTATTCATGAAGATTGGTTGCTAAGTGTAGCATATTTGTTGAGTTTAAATAAAACTTATATATCGGATATTCAATCTATTTTTATGAATCTTCCAAGGAATGGATTATGCATAGAAACAGTTATTTATTACTATTCTTTAGAATTTCATAAAAAATTATCTAATAATATCGAAATGCTATATATGTATGATCCATTAAGTTTAATTAGCAAAGCACTAATGCTTGCAACAAATAGTGATGAATGTGACATACGAAAAGCATTATTTCATTGTAAATCTTACTTAATAGATGATAAAAAACTCACAAATATGTTGTCAATAAATTCGAATGAAGATACAGATAATGAAAAATTAAATATTCCTGAAAATAGCGAAAATATAGACGAACAAAGAAATATAGAATATAATAATGAAGAAGTAACAATACTAGATTCGACAAAAGATGAAGAAGTATCATCTGTATTGTTTGATTATAAAGATGATGAATGGGCAGATGATTGGAGTAATTTTTCTGATGCCAATCTAGATGAAACTGTAAGTAGTATCACACAACAAGAAGTTATAGTTGAAGATAAAATTAATACAGAAGAAAAACGTTTCAAAATTTTCACGGAAATATATATTGAAATAAAAAATATACAAGATTACGAGAAAGTTAAGAATATCTTGTTGACCTGGCCAGCCTTTATCAAGTCTGAATTTACTACAGTTGATATGCATCCAATATTACGAATGATAAAAATAATTCGTACATGTATCATAGTCAAGGATACTGTCGAACATGAAGATCAGATATTACAAGAATATAAAGATCTCGTTACAATGATATCTGAAACAAATGTAAGTTTGATTTCTTTCGAAATATTTATTTTAGTTATATGATTTTTTGCATAATTAATGTATTTTTTAGATACTCAGGGAATTTTTAAAACAAGAACATGATAATATTCCTCTTAATCACAGTCTTCATATACGTCTTTGTACAGATGATCCAATACTTCATAAAGAAGCGATAGATATACTTCAAAAAGAGAAAAAGGTTTGTTTGTGATGATCAATAAAAAAAAGTACACTTATAATTTATTTAATTTGAACAAATTTTAATTTCAGACGAATCTTTCATTGTTGACGTTAAAAGAAATCTTTTTAAAAAATTTAACTTCTTGTTTTGAGCCAGATCATGAAGTATATAAACAAATAATTAAAAATATATTTATAAAACGATCTTTGCCGAATATTGAAGAAAACATAGCTATACTTATAAAAAATTTAATAAAACAAAAGCACGTGATGCATGCTTTAAATATAATAAGTATGGCAGAAAATATACCTACATCTTTAAGTACTTTTAGTACTCTTTTTCAGTTGCTAACAAAAAAATAAGCCTTCTCAATAAATATAATGAAATATTAATTGTATATATAACACACCAAAAATAATAAATATAAATGTTATATAAAAGGCTTCTTTTTTATTAATTCAATGTAATTTTGTTTCATAGATGCTATAATATTCATACGTAAGTAATATATATATAATATATAAAAAAAATACAATATTAGAAAAGAGGTGAGTTGTATCTTTTTATACTTGAATTTATATCAGTTTACGTCATAAATCAAATATTACAATACATTAATTGCGACAAATTTTATAAAAAGCATTAAGTTGAATCAAATTAACTTAAATTATGGAATAATAATATTAATGCTGGAAATTAATTAACAAAGTCACTCGTAGATTATCAACCTTTCAAAGAAGATAATCCAGCTCTTATTATTTCATCGACAAGTAAAATATTACTTGCAATAATAGTGCTGTAAAGAAAAACAATTTATTATATAATTATTCAATCGCTTTTTCATTTCAGTTAAACTAACTAAATTTTATAGTATATTAATTTCAATCTATTACCAGGAATTAATTATTTGTTTCTTCACAACATAATTATCGAAAATTCCGGCATCAGCTGGTTTTATAGCCTCTCCAGTAGTGAGATCCAAACCAACTGCTTCCCCTAATGTATTACTTTCTTCCAGTAATTTAACAATTGTGTCTTGAGAATCAAAACCACTGTTAATAGCTGAAAACATAAAAATATTTTAATATCAATATGATAGGATAAGTAGAAAGACAACATCGTAAAATTATAGAATAGCATACCAAGAGTTTTTGGAATAATCAGTAACGCTTCAGCATAAGCTTGTACTCCTAAACGTTGCTTTCCTTTAACTTTCTCTTTATATTGTTGAAGGGCTTGACAAGCAGCTACTTCAAAAGCACCAGCTCCGGGTATAATAGCTTGATCATCAATAGCATTTTTGATAGCTCTTAATCCATCCCTTACAGCATCCTTCAATTGCTCTAGCGTATATTTATTTGGTCCCTATATCAAAATACAGTTGTACATTAGTAAATATAAAAATTATTTATAAGCAAACAAACTTACCTTCAGAAGAATCGTGACAGAATTTGGATTTTTACAATCTTCTATAAACGTGTATTTAGTTTCTCCCTGAAACAAACCCATTTTTAGATATTTGGTATTATTTATAAATGTTTAGAAATGTTACTATTAAATTACCAGAACATGTTCATAAACTAAATTAGCCCAGCCAAGATGTTCCTCTTGCAAATCATCGACAGAATTCATAGCAACTCCACCGCATGCAAGTGCTAAACGTTCCATATTCCTACGTTTTGCACGACGTAAAGCCATAATATTTTCCTTTGCAAGCATATCTAAAGATGGTGGATCAATACCCTTTTGATTGATTATAACAAATGATTTATCAGTTCCATCACACAATTTCTTTTTTAACTCAATGATTTTTTGAACACGCTTATCTATAAAGTGTCTTTCTGCTGCTACTAATTTCTCTCTTTCTTCAGCTGTTTTATAGAAGAATCCACTATTTACCTGCAATATTAATAATTATATATTTCCTTTCAGAAATTGTTAAAGGTTATTTATTATTAACTTACTTCACTTTTTTCATATTCCAAGCTGACATTACATGTAAGAATATATGCATTTTCAACTCTTTTAGGCATATCTGGATGTCTGCAACCATGATCTGTCACAATACCCCGAACCAAAGTAGTGTCAACAGCTGTCCTATGCTGCATTTCCATCAATTCTACCATATGCAAATCAATTTCTTTTCCCTCTTGTCTAATAGCTAATACTGCATCAACGCAAATTCCAGTTAATTTATCTGCTATAGTAGGATGGACTTTAGTTCTAAGTGATGTTCGTGCTACTTCTAAAAGATTTTCTCTAGTAATAGTAATGGGAATTTTTAGCGAATCTAAAATCTCTATTGTTTTAGCACGAGCTAATTCAAAGCCTTCTGTTAACACCCTCGGATGTAAGCCTTCGGAGATGTAAAGATCTGCTTGCTTAAGCAGCTCTCCAATAACTAATACAGTACTAGTTGTACCGTCTCCAGTTATATCATCTTGTGCAGTCGACGCTCTTGCAATTAAAGATGCAGTTGGATGTTGAATTTGCATTTCATGAAGTAATACATTTCCATCTTTAGTAATTTTAATATCTCCAGCTCCAGATACCAACCTACATAATTCGAATATAAACTTATAATTGCAATAATGTTAATCTAATAATATTTCTTTCAATTAGATTTAAACAAAAAATATTATAATGATCGTCAAATCTTATGCTACTCTTGCAGTAACTATGGCACTATCATGACCATATAAGGGAAATTAATAAAAAATTCTACGTGTGTATACATTGAAAATCTATGTTTGCAGTTTGTTATGATAATATTTTCCTATGAATTTTTTTACTTAAATTATTTAATAGTCATGTAAATATGAAGTTAAATAACAAAATAAGCACGTGATAAAATAGACGCATACATTTTCATGGTTCCTTTAGGTCCCAAATTGGTTCTCATTACTTCTTGAATACCTTTAGTAGCAGATATATTTACAGCCAGTGCTTGTGCTGCTCTGGCAAATTCGGCTTTGGGATTTAATAAGCTAATTGCAGCCATTTTTCAAATACCTTTTTTCTTTTTACAGAAACAAATCACTCACTTATTAAAAATTGCTATGAACACTTCGAACGAATTACCGGTGTAAATGTATAGATGGGAAATCTGTAACGAGTCAAAACTTGCCGTAATTACTATGGACACATATAGATGGTACTGTCATTCGTGACAGCCAATAAAAACGAACGTGGACAAGCTTCTTTGCTATTAGTTAACAAACAAATATCAAGGCGGTGCATTCAAAAAAATTAAAAAAATTCTGTCTGCTGAGAAATGTCATATTTGAAATAATAAAAAACAGAATAAATTGTGTTTAGATTTTTTACAGTTATGATCTATAATCGAGAAAACATAATGATTTCCGAAAAGCTGTCAAGATTAAAAACTTTAGATTTCATTGCTCGAAAAAAGCTAATTGATGAATTAGAATTAAATATACTGTAAGTATAAATAATAAGTATTATAATAAATATATTAGAGTTATTATTACAAATGTAATTAAATATTAATTTTAATAAAGTATATATTGGTATGTATCGATTGTATACAGCAAACAGAAAACATTAAAAATTCTTTGTCTGGAAAACTTATTTTTAACAAGAGTAGAAGTTATGCGATTGGTATCGGCTTTATATAAATCTCGTAAAACTATGAAATATTTGTATTGTTGGAATGCTTTTAAAAGAAAAGAAGGTCCTATACTATTTGATGTTGGAAATTTCATGGGATCTGGTTTGTATTTCGACAGGATTCCCAAGAAATGTGATTGGTTTCGTGCTATCAGATGCTTAGAATCTTTAAACACTTTATCTGTGAATTATGCATATATAGCAACACCTACAGGAGATCTCCTTATTAATTTAGCAAAGTATATTTGCTATTTTATCAATTTTATGATAAGTTCTTAATAATTATATTTGAATTATTTAATTAGTTCTTAATAATAGAGGTTTAGGATCAAAATGGCAATGGTTACAATTGTTGTGCTTGGAAGAAGAAATTCCAGATGAAGTTAATCCTAATGATGGTGTTGGTGGCTACAGGATACCTGATATTGCTTGGATGGAAGCACATCTTTGGGCACCCGGTTTAAAAGTTCAATTCACTTTCGGTAAAGAATATATACACTTCAATATAATACTTTCTTTTGATTTCAGAATACAATAGACGTTATCACGATTTACAGTTGGTTTATCTGAGTACGACAGACATAAAACGTTCTTTTCCCGTCACACACCAATGCATACATTCGCACTTTCCAGTGATATCGATCTACGATTTCGACAACCTTGGTTTCTTGATTGCACGATTAAAAGTCTCTGTACTTGGTATTCGGAAACTCTTGGTAATGTATTTAATCTAACTCTAATTATTCTTTTATAATGTATATTTTTAATACAATTAATAATTTAGTATCTTTGAACTTACAATTGTGGCATCAACGAGATAATTTGGATTCACCATTGAAGAAACTCTTCCTACGATTACCAGCATTACAAACTTTTGAATTTACAGGGGAAATTCGAACACTTCAAGCTTTATATTCTATGTATTATCAGGTACTAGCTCGTAAATGTAGTAAGTATTTTGAAATTTATATTTTTATTATATTTTACAAAAATAATATATATTATTCTCTAAACAGTCTTAATATCTTCTGCATCAGTTGTAATTTGTATAAAATTTTTTAAGTAAGACACATTTTTACGTTTTTTCAGATGTTAATTATGTCAATATACATTTACAAAAAGTTATACACGATGAAGTAAATAACAAAAATTTTTTTAAAGGGATTCAATGTTTACTTACATGTTTTAAAAAAGAATTTTCTGAAATGAATGTTACATTCAATATTGACTTTTATGCCTCTTAATTAAATTATTTGTTTCAAATTACGTATAATCTGGATATATATACAAAAAGGAAACATAAACATATAAAATTTTGCATGTACGATTATTTATTATTTAACATTGTGATTTACTTAACACATTATAAAAGTAAATGCTTTATTTAAATATTTTCAAACATAAAATTTATATGAAAATGAAGAGTTTCATAGTATAGATTTAATATGTACAAGATCTTCGGTTTCTTCAGATCTTATAGCACAATTGTTTGGTATATAAAAGCATAATTTGCAAATAAATTATTTAGAGCATTTTCATTAGTTTTGTGCAGTAGTAGATTCTTGTTGTTCAAATTTAGGATATTTTGCTTCAACTTCTGCCCAAGTAATCTTTCCATATGAAAGATCTCTTATTACATTTGGAAGTTCATCCAACTAAAATTAGAAAAAAAAACATTTTATAAGTATAATAGTAATAGATATATAAATTAATTTCAAAATATATTTGAAGTAATATGCATACCATTATTCTAACTTGTCCAGTACTATCTCTTTCCCTAAGAGTAACACTATGTGGTTCTTTCAGAGTATCAAAATCTACAGTTATACCAAATGGTATGGCAATTTCATCTGTTCTAGCATATCTACGACCAATACTACCAGAAGAATCATCCACTTTGTGTGATACATCAACTTTAGTAAGATTTTGTGCTAAAATTTGTATCATGGATTTAAAAAATATTTTTTAAAATTTTTTTGGATGATAATTTTATTATTTAATTATTACTTAATACTTACACAACTTTTTCACAAATGGTACAAAGTCATCATGACCACTCAAGGGTAATACTGAACACTTCAATGGTGCAATGATTGGCGGTAAACTGAAATATGTTCGTTTTTCATCTTCTTCTCTTGCTCTAAAATTATGTTCAAAGAGAGCATACATAATACGACCGATGCCAAAAGATGGTTCTATTACCGAAGGTACAATCTCTTCCACGTGAACAGTCTTTTGATATCTTTTTATTTCTATCATATTCTTTGTTATTTTTACAACTGAATCATTAGAAAGTTTTAATAAGCTTTCACCTCTATTATTAAAATTTTCTTCTAATCTGTCAATACCATTTATTTCTAAATTAGACAACACATCTTGGACAATTTTACTATCTTTTTTAAATGTTTTACCAATAAGTACTTTGTTAGGTACAACTTCGCAAACATCTACTGTTTTTGGAGCTGGTAATTTCTTTTCTGCTACTAACTTAACTCCTGTAGCTTTAGTATGTTGTGTAAGATCATATGCAGATCGATCTGCACAACCTACACATTCTATCCATCCATAAGATGTGAGGCATTCAGCATCCCAGCAATCACAAGCATAATGAGCCATTTCATTACTCATGTGTTGTCGAAAACGTAATTTTTTATCATCAATGCCAACCTTTAATAAAAATAAATAAATCCTGGCCATGAAATATCCTAATGTTTCATTTGCTACTAGACCATTTGACACAGCTTCTCCTATAGTAATAGATTGTGCGCTTTTTCCATCCATCTGATTACACGCTGAATATAATAGCATTTTTATATCTTTAACTGTATCAAATTTAGGATGTCTCTTATCATTAGGATCACAAAAGTGTTCAATTTCTGCCATAGTAAATTCTCGGACTCTGATAAGACCTGATCTTGGTGATATCTCATTCCTAAATGCATTTCCAATTTGGGCAGCAGCGAATGGTAGTCTTTCTTGATTAAATGCGAATAATCTTTTAAAATTAACAAAAATCCCTTGAGCAGTTTCAGGTCTTAAATAACCTTTTACTAATCCCGAAGGACCAATTTGAGTACCAAACATTAAGTTAAATTCAATTGGTTCAGTTAAATCATTGTTAGAAATAGGAGATTTCATATTGTATTTACTCAAAATAGCAGCCATTTCATCTTTAGTCATTCCATCTAATTTAATTATAATATCTCTACATTCTGCACGTGTATTTTCATCTGTCTTTTTATCACTCGCTACTTTTTCTAAATGTGCTTTAATTAAATGATCCAATCTAAAACATTCGCCAGTTTTAACATCTTTTACCATAAGATCTGCAAATCTTTCTACATGTCCAGATGCTTTTAATACCGGTTCAGGCGTTAATATAGAACAATCTACTTCTAACATTTGTTCTTCTAAGACAAAAAAGTTTCTCCATGCATTTATTAGATTTGTCTTCATAGCACAGCCCATAGGACCAAAATCAAATTGTCCAGTAATTCCACCATAAATAGCAAAAGATTGGTCTAAATAAAATCTGCGTTTCAATAGATCTTCCATTCTTGATCTATCAAATGTAACGACATTAGATATAAGTGACATTTCTTTATCTTCTAATAACTTCTTACGTAGTTTGAGTTCTGCCACCGCTTTCTTAACATCTAACTCTGGTGCTCCATCAGATTTTAATTTACGTACAAGATCACCCTAAAATTTAAACAAGCCACGTGTGATAATTTTATTTTGAATAGGGAAAATATTCATTTGATTTTATTACATATATTTGATCTTTTTATTGTAAAATAAGAACTATAAAGAAATGTCCATATGGAATACCTGTTCCTTGACACTCGCACGAAGCGGTGCCAGAGCTTCTTCAACTTTTGGATCCGTCATATCTGATGCAAATTTTAATATCACTTTTCTATGTTGTTTCTTAGTACCCCAATTACTAAAATCGGTTAACCTGTCAGTAAATGTTAAATTTCTGACCGGCTGTTTGGTGTAGCAAACACGTGTACAACTCTGACGTTTAGCTAGTTTACTTGCGATTTGCAAGCTATACAACAAAAGCCGCATTCGTATTAGTGTTGCATATCGATATATTGAAGGACTGTAAGATTCTGACGACTCTGATGCAACGAAGGACAACTATTTTTTAATGGTTACGGCACTGCATTATGGTGCAAACAAAAATTATTAAAATAATGTGAATACTACATATATTTTTCTTCGATCAATTATTAATTGAAATATTTAATCATTAATTACAATAAATGAATGAAAATGAATATTTCCATGTATTTTTATTCTCTTTAACTTTATCTTAATGTTAGTTTTAAAATAATTGTGGCGCGAAATTTAAATGCGATTTGTAAGAGATATAGCTATTATGCGTTTGAAGAACTTAATAATTTCTTGATTAACAAAATATTATGTATAAATACTATATGGAAATTATTTACGGTATTATACACACATAGATGTCATGTAAGATAATGTTATAAAAGGTATAAACATCACATATTTATTTACACATGCTACATTCATTATTCAGATAGCCAATTCACCATCTTTCGCGTTTAAACAATTAGAATAAACAAAACAAAAAAAAAACAAAAAATATTAGAAAAGAAACATCCTTCTATATAATCTTGAATAATTTTATTTTTTTTTATACACTATAGCATGGTTTATAGAAAAATTACAATTGAGAAAGAAAAATTTGTAAAAAATTATTCGAGAATTGTGATACTTTTCCTATCAATATATTTATTATAACTTTTCAATAAACCCCGCTTGCGTATAATATATTTAATAATAATATAATATGCACAGATGAGAGGTGTGTATTTCATAGCAAGTCCACCGCACATTTTTAATTGCTTGTAGACGCATTGACTGTATAATGATTTTCTTTAACTTAAATCATATATAAATTCTGACACCTAAGTGTAATATTTCACTTATATGCTAAATATTTGCATACATTATACAATAATTTAATCGAAATCATCATCATTGTCGTTCATTATTACAGACCAAATATAAAGGGTTAATATCATAAAAATAAGAATATACAGAGGCTTTTTTGTATTTTTTTGTTATCATTTTTTTCTTTCATTTTCTTCTTTTTTTTTTAGTATAACAATAGTATGATCAAAAACAATATTTATCAGTGTAAACAATTTATTTTACATAAGAGCAATACTCTGACATCAAAAAAAGCAATAATAATGGATAATGTATAATAATAAATAAAGTATGAAACGTAAATAATGGATATTTACAAGTATGTAAATGGCAAAAAAGCTATAACAGAGGCAGAATAATTGCTTCTCCTTTGTAAATATACTTTTTATAAGTTCTAAAATAGACTCTGTCACTTGCTTGTTAAAAGAGAGTGCACCTTGTATGAGTATCGTGTTATGTAATACCTGTACACTTAGAACCTATAAAACATACCATCATCATAACATATAAGAAACTCATAAGGTGCTGTCACTTTATAAATATCAATCACGTGACAGATTCAATCAGAAACACGTACCAATAATATATGTAGCATGAATGCTTACTTTGCTATTATAATTCGTCTATAATGTTCAAAAGGGTTGGCCATGATAAACACCATAGCGGCTCTTATACAATACTTGGAAAATTGATGAGAAATCTCGTAATCATACTTCCGATTACCTTACACTATCGTAAATGCATAATTTCGATTCAACTATAATCGTGAAGCATTGTTAATGAGACTTCTCGTTTCTATTTATTTAAAAGTAAAAATAAAAAGATCAGTTTTATATCTCTAAACGAATAATCTTATAATCAAAACTTTGATATACGAGAATATGACGGAATATCACAGTTCCGAGCTCGAAGAGCCGCTAGAGAAAATCATGGCATTTCCTGTATTTTTTTTATTATTATTTTTTTTCCTTTTTCTTTTTTAAATCTATCCCAAGATAGTCATTAAGTCATTAACTGTAAGACATTCTAGTTAACAACAATCCTACATACTACTGTAAGATTATCTATTTAAGAAATCGTAACGTTTAGTATTAATATGAAGTCATATACAACTTGCTAAGGATGCTGTAAACTGTATACTGATTGCTAAATGTTCCAAGTGAATACTGTACGTATAATGTACGTAAAAAGAGTCAAAGATGACACGTAGATTCAGCACATATTGCATTTGCGAAGACTAATTTCATGGAATAATTATTAAAGATCATTATGAATT